TTTCATGAACTTGACAATGACTGTTTCTTCTGAAAGCTTTGCCACAATGCTTACATGCATAGGGTTTCTCCCCAGTGTGAATCCTTTCATGAACTCGACAATGACTGTTTCTTCTGAAAGCTTTCCCACAATGCTTACATGCATAGGGTTTCACCCCAGTGTGAATCCGTTCATGTGTCTGACGATAACTGTGTCTGTTGAAAGCTTTCCCACAATGCTTACACATGTAGGGTTTCTCCCCAGTGTGGGTCCTTTCATGAAGTTCACAAAGACTGCTTTTCTTGAAAACTTTCCCACATTGTTTACATACATAGGGTCTCTCTACAGTGTGAGTTCCTTCATGATTGCCAAATGAATTGTTGTTCATGAAGAATTTTCCACAGTGTTTGCCTACACAGACTTCTCCTCCAGTGTGAGCTTTTTCATGGGTCTGAATATCATGGTGAGAATTAAAACTTTTCCCACATGGTATACATGCATATGTATTCATTTCACTGTGACTGCTTTGCCTGATCTGACCATCACTGGCTGTAATGAATGATTTCACATCTTGCTTATAAACAAATGGCTTCTCTTCAATGGTACTTTCTTCAGTGCAATCAGAGTAGGACTTTCCACATGGCCTGTGTTCATGGGGTTTCTCCCCAGGACTTGTCTTTGCAAGTTTCTGAGAGGACTGGAGCTTAGCACAGGTTTTCCCATGTGTGTTACAGTTAGACAACTTCTCTTCCAATCCCTGCTGCTCATGTGATTTGAGTCCAATGTTAGCTGCGGTGGGCCCATCTGCTGATGAATGACCAATCAGGGGCCTTCTAGAGGAAAGCCTTTCACCTGGTTTTATACAAACAAGTTTCATGTATGCATTAGTATCTGGAGTCTGAACAACCATTTCTCCATCTTGGTACCATAATTTATATGGACAGGATTTCTCTCCTTCTAAACTTCTGTAAAAGGGAAAAGTAACAAAACAACCAATCACATTTAAAAGTGCCTTTGTAGTAATGATTTACAAAGAGATCTGCTTTGATGTCCCTTAACAATATTTCATCGTGAATGTACTGTACACTCAATGATGGCTTGGAAAGAGCTTTTACCACAGCAGTAGGATTCATTTGGAGTCCCTAATTGACATGCAATACAGAATACTTAACTTTATTTGGGGGACTGGGAATACACCTGGATGAAACTTATTCCATATACCGATGCCTTTGATACCTTTTCCTCCATGACTCCATTCTCTACCCTTCCACTGAGCCTCTTCACCCACTCCAAAATGTCTGCCTCTCTCTTTTCTACCATCCCTCCTTGGTTTGACCCCTTAATTCATGTTTTGGGGTTCTCATGTAAAACATAACTTCTGATACTGAAATTTGTGTGTCTCCCTTATGTAATCTAACATCATGGGCTCTAGATCCATCCAAATTTTGGCAAATGACATCATGTTTCTCTTTTATGAATGAATACTCTTCTATCATGCGTACATATCACAAGGTTTTCAGTGCTGGAAACTGAACCCAGGTTTTAGTCCTCAGATACACCCATGAGTTTTTAAATTTTTATGTGGAAACAGTCTCACCTATCATTAAGGTGGAAGGGCTGAGCATAAATATATGACCTTCCTGACTCAACTTCCCACAATGCTGGGATTCCAAGCCTGCCCCTTTATGCTCAGGCTACCCCATGTTTCCTTAATCAACTCATCTGTGAATAGGCATTTAGGCTTTCTCCAGAGCTTAGCGTTGCTAAGTTGTGCTTCTACAAATGAGTATTTATACATGCTGGTAATATGATTACCTCTGTGACAAATATACACAAAGTATAGGGGGATGATATGGAACTTTGATTTTTCCCTTTTGTGGAATCTCTATGTACACTTCCTTAGATCTTATACCGCACTGAGAGTCACACCAATAATAGCTATGATCAAAACAGCGGCATTCACGTGGATTTTGTGTACATCCACAACATTAGCAATTTTTCAAATACGAATGTGTATATCACGTTCAACTCCATAGAGTATTACTCATATCATTTGTTTGATATGAAACTCATCATTTAAAAACACACACGCACACACACACTCACACATGTATACAATTAAAACTTAGCTCTCAGTGTATCCACAAAATTAGTTTTCTATACTCCTGTACACAAGGCCAGAATGCAATTTCATTCAACATACCTGTAATTTTGAGCATGGAACATAATTTGCTTGTTCTTTGTGTTTCTGGAGACAGCCTCTCACTCTGCAGTTGAGGCTGCCCTGAAACTCACTATGTGGCCAGGGCTGGCTGCTAACTTGCCACAACTTTCCTGCCTCAGCCTCCCAAGTGCTGGGGTTACAGGTGGGCACACACTGTGCCTGGTGGTTGGCTCTGTTACATTACATCATGTCATGTTTGTCACAATATCAGTAGCACCTACATTTCAGATACAGAAATATTTCAAATACTCAATTGTCAGATCAGAGATATTCAAGTGGGTAAATCCTTTGAGAAATTTTGTGAGATGAAAAAATTTGACCATGGCCTTGTTTATATACTTTGCTTGGTTTTAGTATTTCTGCCACTGGAGGAAAATTATTTTTCTGAGTGCAAATTACCTTAGACTTTTACTCCAAGTTTTGTACTCATCTTCAATTTGCTGGTCACCTGAGCTTCTCCCTAAAGTGCAGCAACAGAAATGTAATGAGGACTTACTGCGTTATATGAAAATTGGTAGTTTCCAGTTAGAGTCACAGTAAAATGTGACCATGCCTGGAAGATGCATCACCATGCTTCCACCTTCCGATTAAGGAAACTGCACTGGTGAGCACCAACCAAGGCTCTCTGACTGCAGAGATGAGGAAATGGTATCTCCTTACCGATGGCAGCCAGGTTCCTAAGGGTTTCCCACATCACATCTCTGTAGAGCTTCTTTTGGGATGGATCCAGAAAAGCCCACTCCACCCTGGTGAAGTTCACAGCCACATCCTCGAAGGTCACTGCCTCCTAAAGCATCAGACGTGTTTCCAGGAAGAAGCGTGAGATTCACAACATGAACCATCTCATCTCATACAAAGCTGATATGAGGCTGAGTTTTCCACATTTACTTCATGTCTCAGTCATCAAACACTTATCCTCCATCCACATGCACACCTCACACATGAACGTTGCTGTTACACTGGAATTCACTGTTAAAGCAACAGTGCAATGGGAACACTGCTTCTCCTGCTGATTACACCTGGGTTTGCTTGTACACTGCTACTAAAGCATGGTTCACAGAGGGACCCCACCAAGTCAGAATCCAAGTGAAGAAAGTATGGTAGATGAGTGTCTGAAGAATTACACTGTTAAATTATACAAAATATCTTTTTTTCCGAACTCATTATTTAGGGAGGTGATTCCTTGCTTCTCTGATTCTATTTACACAGCATTTTGAAACTTCAACCTGCTTTCATAGACAAAGCCTGCATTGAACGTGAGCCAAAATTTATCAATGATAATTTGGAAAGCTAATGAAAAATCAGTTTTTGTTGGAAAATCACAGAGAAATTAGATGAAGGGCTACATACGATCCCATGGTTCAGTGACTTGAAATGTGCCATAAGAGGAGAAATTAGGGGAGGGATGTGATAAAAATAGATACTAAATGCACTCATTACCAATATTTTGCACACTTAACAGGCACTAATAATGAAAGGAGAAACTGAAGAAAATTTTTTTTCAATTAAACCCTCAAATGTGACAGCATCTTTAAGGTAGAGTTTCAAAACCCACTATTTAGGGCACTGTTTTATTAGTAGAGAGAATAACAACAAAAAGGGAAGAAGAGTTTCCAATGGGCTTGCATGTAAAAAGAATGTCTTAATTACATTTTTCTCATTGCTCATAGAAAATACCCAACACCCAAAATTACTTTCACTGTTTCTACAGGTTTCAGTGCATAATGGGCTGGCTCCAAGGCAGAGTGACATGGCAGAGGGGCATCGCAGAGGAGAAACAGTCCATGGCAGGCAGAAGGCAGCAAAAGCAGCAAGGAGGAAGCAACAAATGACAACAAAAACTCTCTCTCTGCCCCTTATATTTTCTCCACTCTACCCAGGTAGCACTCACACCCTTAATCCTAGCATCACACCATGCATCAATCCCAGTATCACACATTCTAGATCCAGCTGTCTCTGAAGAGCCCCACCTCTGACTGCATGAGGCTTTACAGGGCCATCTAGATACAAGATATCACAGAATACTGATGCTTATAGAGCTCTCATGGCACAAATGACAATCTGTGTGATACAGGAGGTAGGGAGAAGCAGGGGCTTTATTCTTCATACACCTTCCATATTAATTAAATTACATCTTGAAAGGGGAAAGATCAATTGAATATTTTTGGAAGTGAAAAAATGTATTTCCCCAGAGGAAAATCATGAAGCTGTCAGAATTAGAGGGAGATATTGAAACTTATGTAAATCATGGGAGGTAAAAGACATGAGAAATGTTTAAAATATTTGCAGTGCATGCAATAAAAAGAGTTTGTGGTGGGCCAAGGATTTAGCTCAGTGCTTTTGCCACCTGCCTCTCAAGCACAAGATCCCCAGTTCGATTCCCGGTAACAAAAAAAAAAGAATTTGTGTACCAAGTAAGAAATGCACACATAAGAAATGAGAGTAAAACATATAAACCTGAAGAGAAAACACCAAATAAAAGCAAGATCCATGCCCTTGTCTGAGGAAACAGGCAAAGGAAGCATAATTCTGGAAAGACAGAACTAGTAGGTAGACTCACGACAAAAGGAAGGACCAAGTGCTGCACTCCACAGGCATGTTCTCTACTCTGGTGTGTGCCAAACTCTACAGACCCGAGCTTTTATTCCAGTACCAGAAACCACACGGTGCCACTGTTTCTGAGCATAAATGTGTCTCTTTTCACACCTATAAAAACTAACCTTGATCCCCGGTACCAAAAACAACCCAAAACAACAACAAAAAAAACTAACCTTGAAAAAACTTCAACCTCGTGGAGAAGAAACCACTTTGCCCCATGACACAGGCATGACCACATACGAAACATACTGTGACTAAGAAACTTCATGGAATGCTTTTCTGTGCAGTTCCTATTGGACTCACTCACTTAACATTTCAAGGTGGTAAAGCAAACAAATACTGCACAGTCACAATTACTCATGGTAAATTTACACAAAACAGCAAAATAAGTAGGACAGTGGCTACCCACGGGGCAGACAAGGGTGAGTCTAACAGGGTTCATGTGGGTACTCTTAACCCTGAAAAGGCCCAGCTGTAACACATTCTGAGGGTTCCTAGGAAATTTGTATTGTTAAATTTCACCTATAGGCTTTGTTTTTAATACTGGAGTTCCAACTCAGCACCTCATGCTGCCTGGCAGGTGCTGTGGTCCTGAGCTACATCCTCAGCCCCTCACCAAAAGCATGTTTGAGAATAAAATTAATTGCAAAACATATAAACAATAAATTGCCATGTGCAAAGAAAACACCCAGCAAGCAGACACCCAGCAAGCAGTTCACAGACTGCATGCTGGCCATCAGGAGGAGGGTGGGTTAGAACATCAGAGAAAGACAAGGCAGACATTCAAGCTACTTCGTGCATATGCATCCTACCTGTGGTGCAAACGCCTATGCTCTCCTTGAGAGAAGTGGCTTTCATGTTCACCTTTGTGGAGCTTACAGTACAGAAAACCAAGAGGAATGTTGTTCTCACAGCAGACACTCAGGTGAATTAGAGCAGGTTGTATGTTGAAAAAGGGAAGAAAGGAGCCTGATCTGAGGGTTATTGGGGTAATGGGACACAGAGTGGAAACACTCTTGCAGGCAGAGTTTGGGGCTCTCAAAGCGTCTGTCAGGTCCACAGGTGTGCACACCTAGGCTTTTGATCACATTGTCCTCAACTGGGACATGAACGGAATGAGTGTTGAGGGATAAATGTTGCCACTAAAAAATCAAATGGTGAAGTCATGCACTTCCACTTTCCACTTCACCTAGTAAGAAAAGGAAGGGATTTTTCTTCTCTTTTCTTTCTACTGGGCCATATTCTACAGATTATGACCTGAGAGCTTCTAAGCCTCTCTAAACTTCAGAAAGAAGGAATGAGAAAATGGAAGAAGAAACTGAAGAACAGAAAAGGTGGGGAGGAAGTGCCAGAAGGAGAAAGGACAGATGGATGAAAGAGAAGAAAGAAATATGGAGGCTGTGGTGTGGTTATTAACTACAGCTCTAGCCAGAAATGCTCTGACTTAAGTTTCAGGGGCTAAGCCTTTTGCATGTTGTTGATTCCTATTCCCGAGGTTGAAGATGAGGGCTTTATGACTACAGTGTGCAGGACTTTCCAAGGAGCCTCTCTTGTTTTCAAAAGTAAATGTGGGGCCGGGGATTTAGCTCAATGGTTCCGCTGCCTGCCTCCCAAGCGCGAGGACCTGAGTTTGATCCCTGGTACCAAAAACCCCCCAAAACCAAAAACCAAAAACAAGTGAATGTGAAAGGAAGAGCGAGAGCACTTTCACATCTACAGTAAGTAAAGCAGACCCAAGGGGAGGACACCTCTGTGCCTCAGCACAGTGGCTCCTGCAGTCGACAGCCTCAACAGACACAGGAGAACACAGCGCAACTAAATAGTCAATGAGATCTCACACAGAGAACACAGTCTCCTCTCCCTGCAACTTAACATGAATTGCAAAATGCGCCAGGCAGTCTTGAGTTAACATTTAGACTCACACAAGACAAGGTGCAAAATTACTACTGTCACTAAAATGCTATCCCTGAACACATCTGTGAGTTTCTTTCTCGTCACTGAGCCACAATACGCAACACCCACAATTGAAAGGAGGAAAGGTTGCTTTGGGTTCACAGGTCATAGAGGTATCAGCCCCTAGCTGGCTGGCTGCAAGGCAGGGTGGCTTGACAGAGGGAGGGGCTTGGCAGGCAGGAAGCTGGGAGCCATCAAGTGAGGAGCAGTGATACATACGGATACAGATACACACACACCTGCTAGGCCACACCCACAGTGACCCACCTCTTCACACCAGGCTTTTCCTGCCAACACCAGACCCAGCCATTACCCCATTGCAGGACTAATCCAGTGTCACACCCAGGAGCCAGTCACCTCCCCAAAGCCCGCCTGCCCTGTGAGGGCCTGATGCTTTGGGAGAACATCTGGATTGAAACTGTAACACAAGCCCAGGACAAAGTCCCTAAGTAGTCACAGTCACAGGGGCCACTGCACATATCGCAGCCCAGGACATGAAAAGGTGCCAGTCACCTGATCCCACAACCACGAAGAAGGCTGAGTGTAGCAAACGCTGAAGAGCATGTGAAGGGCTGAGCCACACCTGTGACGCAGCAGCAGGGCACAGCTGGTCGGTAAGCTTTGATTATCACACAGAACATCATTCAGAGGGGGAAAGCAGACAATAGCTTCACGGATGTGGGGAGCAGCATGCACTCCAGACAGCACCCTCCCCTCAGTGGCAGATCCCCCAGCAGTGTGAACAGCGCATCAGCCTGCCTCGCAGGCACAAGGTCCTCAGTTCGATCTCTGGTACCAAAAAAACAAAAACAAAAACAAAAGAAGTGCTGACTGCAAGAAGGGGCAGCATCAGGAGTCACGGGAGACAGGGAAGTGTGATCAGGGTGTGACACACCTCGTGGTGCTCATGTTCTGTAAAGCTGCACTCGAACTGGCTTGCTTCATACAATGTTTTCCCCGAGTCAGTCTGTTCTCAATAATTCAGCATGTATGGATTTACATTTATGTCATATTTATATGACTGTTACTCACTCCAGACGTCAAACTTCCTTTTGTAGAGGAAATGCACAGAGCTGGGAATGGTCCTACACATTTGCAGACACAGCGGCTAAAATGCCTAAAGTGGCCCAGGGATGTGCTCAGTGGTGCCACTGCCTGCCTGGCAAGTGCAAGGTCCTGAGTTCGATCCCTGGTTCCACACAAATAATAATAATAATAAGTAAATAAATAAAATAAAATAAAATGCCTAAAGCAAGAGAATCACAATTTCAATGTCAAAATCAGCAACTCAGCAAGAGTTCATTTTGCTGGGTGACCAGTATAAAATTAAAATTTCTCGGGAATTCAAGTACTAAAAAGCATAATGTCCTAGAGTTGTATGTTGAAACACTTAAATCATTACTACATAAGTAGATGACTGATGTTGCAAATTTCAATAGATTTCAGAAATGCAATTTAGGAATTATTTCTTCTAATGTGCTTACTATTCGGACACTACATGTTGGATACACCTCAAATGTTCCCAAAATAGGGAACAAGTAGGCAACCCACAGTAAATTCTGTTAGGACATATGAAATCTTTGTATGCTTTGGGACAAAATATAAATGTTGTATTTGTAAGTTTAAGTAATACATTGACTGTAATAAAGAAATATTAGAAATTACAGGGAAGGAAGAGCTTTCCAAATCCTATGTCTTTGTCAAGAAGTGTGAGCAGCAGGAATCCAGAACCTCAGTCATGCAAAGCACAGGCTCCACCACGGAGCTATTTTCTCACTCCACCCATTCGCTTGACACAGGGTACATTATTGAATCATCTATTATCTCTGCAGTAAATGAGGGAATAAATTTAGACATATTTAGAATTAGACAGTAACTTTTGTACAAAATATTAACATTTGAAAAACTATGTTTATTTAATACACAGCACATGAGCAATACGCTTAGCTTCATCAAAAATATACAACCAATATTCAAAGAAAACAGAATACCTTGCAAATGAGAAAACAAGGTAAACAGTTATAACAAGAAAGGCATAATGGCAAAACACAACATGAAAATGAAAAATAATTATTAATATCATGGATATTTAAATTCCTGGAAAAGGTCCCACTATGGGGCTCTGGCAGGCCATGAACTTCCAACCTTGCATCAGCTTCCAACTGCTGTGATGACAGGTGCATGCCTACTCCTGACTAAGCAATGATCTATTCAGAGAGACCTAAAAATGGAACGAAACCATAGTGTACTGAATTTTACCCTGCAGATGAATAAATGCTTAGAAATGTAGAAAGGCTCAAGTCAGGTACTACAAGGGGGAGTCTGGAAAATTGGAGGAACTATCAAACACCTAAGGTGTCAGTCTAAAACTTCCCTCCATAGGTTCACCTCAGAGAGAGTTTACAAGTGTCTCCATCAAAGTATAAACATATTGCTCAAGATGCAATTTTGCTCAGTATGCAATGTATATATGCCAATTGCCATGACTGTATTTAATGTCCATTACAAGCACATACTAATCAAAACTTATAATGAAAGTAAGATATACCCAGCTAGGCAAGGTCTCGCATGTATCAGACAAAAGAGTTAAGAAAGCGCTACAGTACATTCTATCAGGTTTTTGCAATATTTACCTCGAACCAGATAAATGTGTTCAAGGAAAGAGAATGACAGGGACACTACACGTCAGCATGCAGACTTTCAAAATGGGATGAAGCATTACCTAGGCTAATACAAGGTGGTAACAGAGAACAGTTTCTCTTATTGGCATGTGGCTAATAACATGGGTGCCGAGCCTGTATGATGTCCCAGGGGTAATCCACAGTCACAGTCACACACACACACACACACACACACACACACACACACGCACATGCACACGCACACGTGCACAGCTGCATCATAGGAAAGTGGTGCTTATCTGAACAAAGATGAGGATATTTCAGCATCAGAAACCTATCGTAAAATGCACCACAAAAATCCACAAACAAACACCTCATCTCACCATCTGAATCTTGGCATAAGTATATCTTCTAAAATTCAATTTATAGTCACTGTTTCTTAAAGGCCTCTAAAGAAGAAAAAATAACATGAAACTTTGTAATGAGAGAAAACACATGGAGTACATGAGAAGCACATGGGTCTCTGAATGAAGCCATTGTCCAGATATTATTTTATTTTTATTTTTCATTTTATTGATTTTATTTTCAGTACCGGGAATTGAACTCAGGACCTTGTGCTTGCCAGGGGAGGGGTGGTGCCACTGAGCTACTACCCCGGCCCTACCTATTAGTTTAAAATGATAAACATGTCTGCTCACTGTCTCTACTATGCAGGCACATGAGACCAAATGCTGTATGTGGTGTATAAGGCAGTAACCAGAAATTAGTCACGTGGGCATTGAGGTGAAGGAGACAAAATCACTACCCATAAATGATGCAGGAATCAAAAGGTAGTATTTTAGAGAAATAACAAGGAGAACAATGCTGCCAGATTCAAAATCAACTGGAAAAAATCATAACGTTTCTCATACTTAACATTCACTAAAACAATGTCAACTGAATAAAACTAATTTATTCCCGATTAAAAAAAATTATGAAGAAATAGCTCTGAATCATTTAGATCTCAACATCAACACACACCAAACATGAAGAAACTTGCTTTTTTTTTTTTAAATCAGGCTAAGCATATCAATATTTATTGAAACACTAAAAAAAAAAATCCATTTTATTCCTGGTTAAATTAAATTAATTAAATTCCTGGCTAAAACTGACATGACACTACACAGTTCACTGCATTAAAAAATGTCAACATGGGGCTGGGGATTTAGCTCAGTGGTTTGCACAAGCGCAAGGACCTGAGTTCGATCCTCGGTACCAAAAAAACAAAAAAGTCCACACGCAACCAACTTCACACTAAACACTGCATGACTCAGGTCTGGGTCAGCTGCGGATCTGCGGCACTGCATGTGGATAATACTGACAGCACTGTTTGGAGTCTGTGTTTGTACTTCTTCGGCCTCCAGTATTTGTTATACAGTAGACTTGGGTCTATGGCAGAGCAGGCTCACTGTCACTGTCTTCCTTTCCCCTCAGAAAAAGGTTGAAATTACTTTAATATTTTTCCAGGCTACGTGTAAAAACTCGCTGTTTCCATCCCAAGTTTAGGAGACCCCTTGGCAACTAGAATGAACCTTGAGTCATTTTATCTCCTCAGTCTGTCTGTTCATTTTGCAGTTTAACATGGTACTTAAAACTGTGACTATATGATATCCCATCCAAAAATGTGTCCTACCTGATTTTAAAATGAATATAAAGTTTGAAGACTAAAAAGACACATGTACCCTAGTAACGCATGTGGCCACAAATTCTCATGAACAGCAATGCCAAACCCATATTTCAGCAACGGTAGCAGAAGGAAGATCTAGCTTGCTTTAGTTATGGAGGACTTGCTTTAAAATTTGCAGTCCCATTCCTGAATATTAATTAATGTTTATATATGATAGAAGAGGGATACTGCATGATTTTTTTTCAGTCATGAACACACGACACAATAACCCAAAGCATATTTATAAAGGCAAGCTGATGTATTCACAGACAGTTGTTATTCGGTGTTTGCAGCTCTACCACACAGACATTCAGAATCATGATTTAGTGGAGCCACTATGGGGCGTGTCTGACCACAGATCCTTAGCGTAGATCGGGGGATTGGGGGCAGAAGGTACTGTGGTTCTGGAAGAAGAGGGTACAGCTGTCTCGGGTACAGCTGACCCATTCTTGAGAACTGTCTCAGTTCGGCTCTGCCATGGAGGAATTCAGTAATCTTAAACCCTCAACTGAATAAGCCTCATTGATAACATATTAATTCCTAAATTTCTTCACAGCAGAGATCAGCTTAACTATGTAAGAATTAGTCTGTCCATTTTCATTCTGACAGTGTTAGAATCCATCTGTGAGTTCAGTTCCCTCCATTACAATCTCTTTTGTATGAATCCTTTGAGGGTGTGAAGCCTTTGATGCATTTGAATTTGCAATTAAAATACCCTGATTCATCATTTATTGGCTAATAAGAATTAGATCATTATTATTCTTTTTAAAATTCTATATTTTCAAACCGTGTTTTAAATTGCTGCTGTTTGAAGCAGTTCAGAGTCTGTCTTTTTCTCTTCCTGTTCACCCCCCACCCCATTCCAACCTTGTGTCTTCTGACAGCAGCACCTCTGGGGGTTTCAACTTCCACTCTCTCTCTTTTTTTCTTTCTTGGTACCGGGGATCAAACTCGGGGCCTTGCACTTGTGAGGCAGGCGCTGCACCAGTGAGCTACATCTCAGGTGCAACTTGTTTCTGTTCTCTTTGCATGCAACCTCTCGATGAGAGCCTTATTGTTGAGGTCATCCGCCTTTGGTGCTGGTACGAGAGGAATTTTTTAGCCTGCATGCTCATCAGGCAGACTTCAGGCAGTGGAAATAGCAGCTGCGCAAACGCCTCTGTTTGCTGTGGGTATCACACAGTGTGTAGTCCAGCAGGGCCACAGTGACTTCCTCCTGGGCAACTTCGAACAGTTGGAGGTTCTTGAGGTTTTTGACATCTCAACTAAAGAGTGCCAGGAACATCAGGCACACAAACTCTTCTTGGTCAAACTGCAGGGACCAAAAGGTTGCCACCAGCTCCTGCGACTCGTGATGTTCATGTGGGTGTTGTCAGCTTTAGATGCTGTTACAGTGATGTGGAGGGGAAGAATGGACAAGGCAGAGACTGATGGTCTCTAGGGCTTGGCCCTCCTGCTACACCACAGAGGTCACTGTGCCCGGAAGACGAACTGCTGAAGCCCAGCTGCCTGTCCCTCCCTATCTCCTGTGTCTTAAAGATAAACTGTAAAAGGAAAAACAATGTTATGGGCTGGGGATTTAGCTCAGCAGCACCGTGCCTGCCTTGTAAGCGCAAGGTCCTGAGTTCAATCTCCCGTACCAAAAGAAAAAAAAAAGAGCAATGTTACCTCCACTTCCCTACTCTGCTAAATTCTGCTTCTATAAAATTCTGCTTGGTCCCCCACCCAGGCTGAAGAACAGACAAATGTAAGAATAGCTTGCTTCCTTCCTTCCTCTTTTTTCCATGTTTGCCATGGATAATGAATACATTCATCGTTTATCTTGGGGAATGATCTACCCACCT